AAAAAAAAAAGATTTACAGGTTTAAAGCAAGCCCAGGCAACTCAGTGAAACCCCATCTCAAAATACACAAACAGGCTGGCGTCACACCGCAGCAGCACAGTGACTGCCTGGCAAGCACAAGGTCGTGAGTTTGACTCCCAGTGCCACAATACATACATACATACATAAAAAGTTTTAAAATAAAGAAAGACTCAGGATATAGCACTGATTCAATTCCTAGTTTTTAAAAAAGAGTATTACATTAAATAGAAGAAAAATCCAACAAAACAAGAATTATCACATTCGTATTACAAAGGGTTTTTTTTCATATTACAAAGTTTTACATAATTGCTAAGTCATGTAGAAAAATAACTAGATTAAAATATTAGATTAGAAGGTGAAAAAACTAAGCTAAAAACAGTGAATATACTGTAACCCAAATACAACAAAAATGTTAGTAATGTGTCAAGGGCACGGAAAAGAACAGAGTACATATCAAGGTGTGAATGGCAAGGTTAGAAATGATTTTCCTTTGCACTTTCTGAGTTCTCCATGATGCTGTCTTGAAATGTTATCTTGAAATTCAGGCCACACCGATACCTCTCACCGCCAACGGACTGTCCTGAAGCAGACAGTGAACTGAGGCAGGGCCTGTGCTGGGGGCACCAGCGAGCCTGTGCCTCGGAGGAGTCAAAGCCGGACAGTGAGCGTGCAAAGCTGCCAGCAGTAAACACCAGAGGCCACCTGTTCGGCGTGAGCAGAGGAGCCGTCCTGGTCCTGAAGACGCTCGACAGGTTCTTACTTGCTACAAAAACTGAGACTCGGAGCTAGGGATTTAGCTCAGTGGCATAAGCGCCTGCCTTGCAAGCAGGCAGTCGTGAGTTCGATCCCCGGTACCGATAAAAATGAAAAAGACAAAAAAAAAAAAAGTAAAAAAAAAAAACCAAAAACTGAGACTCTCCAAACAAGTCAGCTTCCTGGGACTGCAAGCCCTACTCCGTTCTACTCCAAAGGCCCTGAAACAGAATACTGGGCCAGGGATTACGGAGAGAAGCTGCTGCTGATTATGAAAAATGTTAATAATAATGACCAAAAAAGGTAAAATCAGTTCAATTTCTTGAACACCAATTTTAGGAGAGCGCAAAGAGCACGAAACAATCTCAGCATTACTCCTATCTCTGTCCGGTTGCTTCTTCCTTGTGAGGTCATCTCGCGAAGTGAAAAGCTGCTGACCAGCATGGCCCATCGGGCCAGGAGATCCTGGCAGACAGAATGCTCCGGAGGGGAAATTTTAGTGCGCCCCTCGCCCTGCCTGCTGAGCAGTGGGCAGCACGCACGACAATTACAGTCTTTGGCCGAACACAGATTTTTCTTAATAGACACCCAACAGTAACAAGACAGAAAGCCACTACTACTGCATAAGGAGTCCTCCTGTTGACTGGGGCAACCAAAAGGTATCTCCTCCTCCACTGTGCTCAGTGCAGTGCTGTGAATATAATCTCCACAGCAGGAACCGTAGGGCATGCCCAAAACAAATGGCTTTAGTGCCAACAGTCATAAGGGTTTATTCCTATCACCAAGCAACCCTCTGTTGTCTGTTTGTTTTCTGAGACAGGGTCTCACTATGTAGTTCAGCTGGCCTTGAATTCACTGTGATCCTCCTGCCTCGGCCTCCTGAATGTTGAGATCACAGGTGTGTGCCACCATGCCCAGCTCAACCCTCTACAGACAGATGCCAAAGTCATCTTCATTTCTGAAATCAACAGGATCAACAGAAGCTGAACACATACACAAAAATGTCTTGATATATTATGCCCATGTAATCACAGGCAACAAAAAGTTTTAAACAATAGAAAGCAAGCAAGAAAGCCTGCTATCGCGCCTGCAACAGGACACAACCTGATGCCTTTATGAACATAAACTTTACCCTAGCAGAGGAAACAATTTACATGTAGATACATTCCAGAATGTTAGTAAGCTACTATAAGAGTAGCCATGAAATACTAAATAAAACTGTAATATATATATAGAAGAAAACACAAAGTATATTTTGAGTATGAGGAAAAAGAAGGCAAATGCTGCTTTAAAAACTGAATGGGAGGGGCTGGCGATTTAGCTCAGTGGCATAAATGCCTGCCTTGCAAGCAGGCAGTCGTGAGTTTGATCCCTGGTACCGATAAAAAGGAAAAAGACAAAAAAAAAAAACACACAGTGTAAGCAATGAACAAAAAATAAGGTTACTTCTGTCCCACTGAGACTATACAATGAAAAAAAACACAGAAGACGCTGGCAGTGAAGACCATAAGTGAATGAACTTAACAAAGGTGAGAAACAGAATCCTACAACTACAGACAAAACAGACACTGGGTTAATCCCCCAGCGAAGTACCTTTTGCAGCGTGTGATAAAACCAGCTTTTACCCACCTCTGTTTCGCTGGGAAATTTATGTAGGTTTATTATCTCCAGATTTACAATATAAACTAACCATAAATATGTGCAGCTTTTTAAAAGCAAAATAATTAGACAATAAAAAATGCTTCCAAAGTGGAAGAAGCTTGGACTATAATGAGATACTATTGAACAAAGCCGTATGTGCTTGGGACTCCAAAATGTCAAAGCAGTAACATTTATCTGTGCATGGAAAATCTTTCCTGGGGGACCAGAAAGTGTTCAAACGGCTACTACTCAGTTTTCAGACTCTGCACACTCCCTCAAGCGTTCTGCTCTCTTCTTTCATGAGAGAACTTATGGCAGGAACATTCATCGCTTTCCATCTGCAATCAGCTGTATCCCCTGTGCGTGGAACTCAGAACAGCTGGCCAGCACACAGTTCACACGCATGGCTATGTCATACTCTGTTCATTTTCTGCAACAATGGTACAGTATTTTCAAAATGTAGCTGGACACGATCACACACGCCTGTAACTCTAGCAGTTGGAAGGCTGAGGCAGGAGGGTTACTGCAAGTTCAAGGCCAGTCTGAGCTAAATAATGAGTTCAAGGCCAGCCTGGACTACACAGTGAGACCCTGCCTCAAAAAACAAAACAAAACAAAAATCCAGAGGGAAGTTTCTTATATAAAATACAAGTTCTCACATCATGAGCTGCTGTATAAGATATCCTTCCAAAAACAACAAAATGACCCCAAACTCTTTGAACCATGATAAAGTATTCTCCTTAAATACTCTCATTTTTCCAAGCCTGATCAAATGAGTTTTTTTAGTATACTAATATTAAAAGTCACAAATTTCTCCTGCTGAAATTTTACATTGAGAAATACAATGTGTTATAGCTGTTGTAAAATCCAACTAACTATTCCTAACACTGCCGTGAACAAGCTACAATTCTAAATTTTCCCCAAGTATACTGGGTATGGTTAAAGTCCTACTCATTCTTCAGAGTCCAGCTTAAACACCACGTCATCAGTGAATCCTTAGATTTATCCTTTGTCAGCTCACATTTGCACTGTTTAAAGCCCCTTCTTATGGTAATTAGAACTTTGATCACTTTTATCCTGTATTAAGCTTATTTTGTCATTAATCCTGTCATAAACTAAGCAGTCCATACAGAGCAGGCCCCCCCAGTGTGGGGACCTCGGTGACCACCACCCCCACACATGTTAAAGAAGATGCTCAGGTGGGTGGGAGAGAGAGGACAGGAGGACGGAGCAGCCCCTCAGCCTGTGCTCATCAGGAGTTCCGCACTGCGCCTGAGGGACTCCACAGGTCTCCGGGATGTACCACCTGCTCTCATCAAACTTCACAACTTTTAATACACATCAGACATTTTGCCTTTAGTATTTCATCAAGAGACACATCCATATTCCCAGTAACTATAGAGACTTCTGTGAGAAATAAGCAAAAATTTATATTCCAGTCAACTCTAAAATTTTATGGCTTTATTCTCAACTAGGAATCTGAATTTTCTCTTCAGTTTCCTTTCTTTTCCTTTTTTTTTGTTTTGGAGACAGGGTCTCACAACATGGCCCAGGCTGGTCTCGAACCTGTGGTACTCTTCCCGCTTCAGCCTCACCAGTACTGGGATTACAGTCACACACCACCACGCTGGGCTCTCCAGCTACACAGCCAGCTCAAGAGCAGCCTGAATTACACAGCGAGGCCCTGGCTCAAAAACAAAAATAAAGTGGACATCTTGGAACAAATTAGCTTCAAGATAAAGAACAGTGTCAGACATCACCAGAAATCATTCATTTACTTTTATTATTTACTGATATATTGATTTCTTGAATATGGCCTTTTAATACCCATTTTCTACTTAAAAGGTTTTCAGGCTGGGCGTGGTGGCTCATGCCTGTAATCCCAGCACTCAGGAGGCTGAGGCAGGAGGATTCTTGCAAGTTCAAGACCAGCCTGGGCTACAAAGTGAGCGCAAGGCCAGCCTGAACTGTATAGCGAGACCCCGTCCCAAAAAAAAGACAAAAAAAAAAAAAAAAAAAAATGGTTTTCATACAATTTCCTGCATGAAAACGTAATAAATATCCCAAGTATTAATGGAAATACATCGTTACAATAGTGGAGATTTCTTCAAGGTAGACAAGAGGCACTGACAATACCAAACAGATTACAGAGAAAGTCAATTTCTGCTCTAGACCCAGAATTTCTTAAAATCCACCCTTTAAAAGAACTTACTACAGGGCCAGAGGTTTAGCTCAATAATGTAAGTGCCTGCCTGGCAAGCACAAGGTTGTAAGCTGCATCCCAGCACAAAAAAAGAGAACTTACTACAACATATGCCAGCATTTTTAGAATTAATGCCAACAGGCAAAAATGCCTCCAAACTAATTATAATTCATGTATTTTTCAAAGAAAGAAACTGTAAGTTCAATAATCAGCACACTGTATAAAAGTTAACTGTAGAAAACGAAGCACGAAGAGCCTGCAGCAAAAAGTGGAGAGCAGGAGGCGCTCAAGGGTCCTTCAGAATGAAAAGTCAGAGCCGACCCACAGCGCTCACTTGGGACGCAGGGGAAGAGGGGAGGGACAGCAGCCAGCGGGTACTCACTGGTCGAGTTGCCCTGCATCTGGATGATGCACTTGGACTCCTTGCTGGTCTCCCGAGAATTGAAGGGCCGCACTCGAACAGCCACCTTCACTGAGGCTCCCGACATCCTGATGGCCTGGAGATAGACGCAATCCGGAAACGAGGAATTAAATCTTCTTCTGAAGTTATATCAAGTCTCCTTTGAAAAGAAGAGTTCCATACAAGGCAGTCAGAATTAAAGAGCACACCAGCCAACAGAAGCAGAAGAGGCAACGACCTCACATTCTACTTGTTTCTGTTTCTAAAACCCTCATCTTCTCCCCTGAAAACTTGCATTCCCAGCAGTATGCTATCAAATGTTAAAGACTGCGGACTTCCGGGAGAACATAGCAGACAGAGAGCAGCAGCTTCAGAGGCTCTCTGAGAAACCACACTTAAAATCCAGGAATGGTGCCGGGCAAGAAGTCCTAAGCAAGGGGAGATATACTTTGCCGACCCAGGAACGAACTAAACTAAGAGAAACCAACTGGAAACGCAATCCCGGTGATATAACAGGAACACATAAGGTCTCAGCGCGGAAGCTGGAGCCCATGCCACTGGAAGCCAGGGTTTGAATTTCCTGCAGCCGCTGCTGCGTCCCAATCGGAATGGCAAGGAGAGAGGTGCAAAAGTTCTGAGAGTGGGAAGGAGTGAATGGAGTTGAGGACGGGACTGGCCAGGAGCCCTGCATCGACCTGCGGTGAGTGAGCGGATTGGGGACCCTTCCATAGATTAGGAGGCTTCAGCAAAAGGACATACTGGGACCGGGCAGACTTGCCGGAACAGGGCGCTGCAGTGACTTCAGCCACATATTCCCCTCTCAAGTGGGATTGGTGGGGAGTGCCTGGCTTGGGTGATGCCGCTGACTAAGACCCAGCAGGCTAGCCCAAACCAGGTCCCAGCACCTGGAGGTGCACCCTAGCAGTGAAGCCTTCGGTAGGCTGACCTGGAGGGGCAGGCCTAGCATAGGCTGCCCAGGTCTGTGTCTCCCTAGTACACTGCAGTGGGCAGGAACACCTAGCAGGCGCAATTCAAACAAACTGTAACTGACAAAGAAAGAAAATAGACCTCCTATATAGGCTTGTATAAAAGAAACAAAAAATATGGGAAAAGGGAGCAATAAGAAAGGGTTCTCAGCCCCCAATCCTGAGAAATATGCAACAGCAGACACGACACCAATAGATATAAAGCGGTATCTCTGGAGCCTCATAGACAAGTTCAGGAATGAAGTTATTAACGACCTGAAGCAAGATATAAGTAGAATAGTTAGAGAAATGCTAAGCACCGCCCAAGAAAAAACAGATGGTGGAATGGAAGAACAGAAAAAAAGGGGAGAATTGCTTGATGGAGAAAATAGAGAAAACATAGAATACGTGAAGCAGGTTCAAAGAGATTACCAGGAAACTAAAAACTATCGAAAACTGGCATAACAGCTTGAAAGAAACTAAGGATAGATTATCTGAACTGGAGGGCAGATTTGTAATATGGGAGCATGAAATGAAAAGCTTCTTAAAAAATAACAAAAAAACAAACAGCTGGGGCTGGGGATTTAGCTCAGCGGCATAAGCACCTGCCTTGGAAGCAGGCAGCCGTAAGTTCGATCCCTGGTACCGATGAAAAGGAGAAAGACAAAAAAAAAAAAGAATTAAGAACATAAAAGAAGAAGTAGGGACACAAACAAATGGACTACAAAAGCTATTCACAGAAATAATCCAAGAGAATTTCCCTAACTTAGCAAATGGTAAAGATACTCAGATGTATGGGGCTAGGGATTTAGCTCAGCGGCATAAGCACCTGCCTTGCAAGCAGGCGATCGTGAGTTCGATCCCTGGTACCGATAAAAAGTTTAAAAAAAAAAAAAAAAGATACTCAGATGTATGAAGCATACAGGACCACAGCCACCTACAGCCCAAACAGAGCTACACCCAGGCATATAATAATCAAAATTCCAGAAATCCAATATAAGAACGGAATATTAAAAGCCGTCAGAGACAAGAAACAGATCACTTACAAGGGAACACCCATCAGAATTACAGCAGACTTCTCGGCACAAACCATCAAATCACAAGGAGCGTGGGGGCAAATAATTCAAGCTTTGAAAGATAATAACCTCCAGCCAAGATTGATATATCCTGCACAACTGTCCCTAGAAATTGATGGAAAAACAAGGTGCTTCCAGGATAAAGAAGAACTAGGGGAATTTGCAATCACCAGTTCAGTTCTACAGAGAATACTGCAAGATATTCTAAAAAAGAAAAATACTAAGATTCCAGAAACAGTGGCAGAGAGGCCACAATGAATGGAGCAGAAAGCAAAATGAAGAAGACAAACTGACAACTAATGACAGAAAAAGAGCTCAACAGAAATGAGGCAGAGAAGGTTGGATGGTAGAAACAGCTATTTTGGAGAAAACAAGACATCCTAATAGCTAGTGCTGATTTAATATCACCTTGTTTTGAAGTCCCATCAAGCTTTTGCTCTTCTGTCTCCATCAGTCTTAACATGTTGTATCTTATTAGATTTTATTATATGTGATAATATAAACAAAAACTTTTATAGACAAGGAGATTATACAGAAACCATTGTTCATTTTCTGTAAGTTGATTCTAAATACCCTGTAATCCTGTCATTCTCTTGAATGGTTTTACATTGTCTTGGTATGTTTGATGCTACAGTATACGAAGTTATACTCAAAGATTTCAAGGAAAGAGACACTATGGTAACTACTTTTATGTCAGGATATCTGGTGGTGAAACCATTTGCTTAAATGGTTATGTTTTGACCTGTGCTGTTCTGTTGTTATGCCCTCTCTTATCTCAATCCCCCCCCTTTTTTTTAATTATTTACTTTTTTATTTTTATCTTTTTAATTAAGGGAAAAATAAATAAAAATAGCAGGATACATTATAGTAACCTACTTTGATTTCCTATTAACTTTATTTGAAATCCTGTATTGCCCTCACCATCTTGTTTTGACTGATTTTCCCTTATTTTGCTTTGCTTGATAGTACCAAGTTCAAAAGTATGGGCAACAACTGTGAAGACAATAAGATTCATTATGACGCCCATTCTGGTTGACTATTATCTTCTTCTTCTTCTTTTTTTTTTTTTTTTTTTTTGTCTTTTTCATTTTTATCGGTACCAGGGATCGAACTCACGACTGCCTGCTTGCAAGGCAGGTGCTCATGCCACTGAGCTAAATCCCCAGCCCCCTACTATTATCTTCTTTTAAAGTCCTGTAATATCTCCAATGCTTTAGTTTTATTCTTTACTGTTTTGTTCAATTTTATTATAACTGGCAATTCTTCTTAAAATAGCAAGAGGCAGTATCGTAACCATTGTGGATCACCTTATATTTTGTTTTTACATTATCTATTATGTCCATCCTTTTGATTTGACTGACTCTGTTCTGATATGTCACATTTGGTTTTACTCTCTTCAAAAAAAGTAATAAGAACTGTGGGAGTAATAAAACCCAAAATGTGTAATTGTCACTGTACAAAAGAAAAGAAAAGAAAGTGCTCTAAAGGTTATAATTGCATATATGTTTAAGTGTATAAGATAGATAACCATATTACTGAGTTTTTTTGGATCACTGAACAAAACTGTTTGCAGTCTCACTGTTTGAAAGTCCACTTTATATGCTTTAATTTTGTAACTTGAACAACTATTTCTAAGATGAGAATATGTAATCTATTAACTAGTGATTTCTTACTGTTTATTTTTTGAATTTTGTATTACTTGTACCCTTTTTCTGTTTTTTTTTTTTCTTTTTCTCCTTAAATTAAAAAAAAAAATGTTAAAGACTGCAATTTGTTTTCCTATTCCATTAGGACTTTCTCATTCCTAAAAAAGTTTCTAGACTTGTAATAACTTTTAGAACCACACAATAGGCATTTATCTTTTCTGTGTTTCTAGGCCATTTTTCAGTACTATGTAAAAAGTGCTTTTGTTGCAGAACTTTCTTTCTTTCCTTTTTTATTTTGAGGCAGGGTCTCGTTCTGCAGTGCAGCCTTGCTGTGTGGCCCAGGCTGCCCTTGAACTTGAGGTAGTCGCCCCGCCTTCGTCTCCCCAAATGCTGGAATTTCACGTGTACAACACCCCGCCCAACTTCTGCTGAAGAAGTTTCCTACACAGAAGCTTTCCATCCGGAAACTACTCACTACCTTTCCTTGGAGACATCCGCTGAACTGTCTACGCTTCGCTCCAGTTTGAAACACTTGGTTACGTGCTGACAGCTGAACAGCAGGAGAGGCCTCCTTCCTGCTCCTGTCCTGCCAGCTCCTGTGGCAGTTACTCAGTGACTTCCACTAGCTCTGAAGATTCTGCGCATCCCTTCCACAGGAGTCCACACGCTGCCCATGACAGAGGGAGCACCCCAAGTGCCTACGGTGACTCACACCAGAACCAAACTACGCGTACAGAAGCCACAAGAAAAACGCTAACATTTTTAAAGGAATAGTTTCCCTTCCAAAAGAATAAAACCTATACTAAACTGCGAAAAAACAATCCACAAGAAACAACTGATCTCTCTAGTTAGGAAGAAATCTATTACATCAACATTTTCCAGAAGAACCAAACAAAAGAAAAGCCTAAAGCAGAAAAGTATGAGTCCAGTTACCAAGGAAGCCAACAGAATGTAAATCTAACCAAATTGTTCCACATAATTAAGCAGACAGAGATTAAAAATGCTAACCTCCGGAGGTCAGCACCTCCACCGCATGGGAAAGGCAAAAAAGAAAACAGTAAAAACAGAACTGCAGCAAAGCTCCGAGCCACTCTCCTCCTGGCCCTATCAATCCCGCGTCCGTCCTCGCCAGTGCCCAGTATTGGCGTGTCTGCCACGGCTCCACCTTCCCTCCTTCTGAGAGGGGTCTCACTACACTGCCTGCCGAGGAACTGAACTCGGCTTCCCTAGTGCTGGGACGACAGGTGTCCCACCACGGCCAGCTCCCTGTCCTAACAGCATCAGCAGCATATGAAATTCCTGCAATCCTGGTTATTTCTGCCGTCTCTCTCCCACCACACCACACTGCTCAGTGAGCTCCTGTCTTGGGTGCTAGTACTCGGAAGAATACCTGACCTGGCTGGTAAAGGAATGAATTAGACTGTTCAGCTACAAGAATTATTTATCTACTATCTATTTATTTATTGGTTTTTT